TTCATTTTACATTTGTAGGACAGTCACAGTTTTAACTTTTTAAAAAATTCTATTTTGAGCCAGCTCTGATGGTCCAGTGGTTAAGGTTTGGCATGCTGTCCTTTGGCAGCCTGGGTTTGGTTCTCGGGCATGGAACCACACCCCTCGTCTATAGTAGCCATGCTGTGGTGGTGGCTCGCACAGAAAAACTAGAAGGACTCACAACTAGAATATACAACTATGTACTGGGGCTTTGGGGAGAAAAAAAGAGAGAGGAGGATTGGCAACAGATGTTAGTTCAGGGCGAATCTTATCCAGCAAAATAAAGTTATCTTTTAACATAGGTGAGCTTAGAATGGAAAATAGATGCATTACATTCATTTATTATTAAAGGCTGAAAATAAGTAAACACAGGAAATCAGAATCACAAGATAAACAGAAAGAAAAGCAGGGGTAAGAATAAAGATGAAAGACAAAAGCTGAAATGAATAAAATGGAAGGGGGTAGAGGAGGAATAAATAAAAGGAAAAGCTTTACTTTTATTTTTATGCAAATGATAAAAAAGATAAACTCTTAGCAAACTACCTAAGGAGAAGACTGAAAATACAACCCCCCCCCCCAAAAACCAACAGTAATAAGAAAATTACTAATTACTAATTAGTATCACTAATTACTACTAAGAAAACGCCAAAGATTTTAAAATAATATTAGGAGAATGTTAAATAGCATTATAGGGTTACAGATATGAAAATTTAGAGGGAAATGAATGATTTTTTTCTTTTGTAAAATATAAATTACCAAAATTGATCCAAATGAGATCTAAAAGATGAACAGACTGGGAATTACAGAAAAAATTGGAAAGTTTGTTAAAGATGTTCATCAGCCCAGATAATAAACAGATACTTCCTGAGATACTCAAATTATTGCTGGTCTCTGAAAAAGAAGGAAAGAGCCCCAATTTACTTTCAGAGTAGTATAACCTAAAATGAACAAAGAGGCAAAAATCAGACAGAGCACAAAAAAAACTAGAGATCAATTGCACTTATGCAGATAGGTGTAAAAATGTCAAATAAATTACTAGTAAATGAGATCCAGCAAAGTATTCGAAGAATTATCCACACGACCAAGAAGGTTTGCTTCCGGAACGCAGGGTGATTCAGTGCCAGGCTATGTCCTACCCTAATTCACCACATCAGCATGGTGAGGTGCAAAACCCAAATAGTTAACGTCGAAAGATACTTGATAAAATTCAGCAACCCACTCAGATAAAAACTCTAAGTAAAAACTAGAGGAGAAGAAAATGACCTAAGAACTATAAAAACCACCCCTCAAAGGAGCAGTGCACATCACATGAACTTGGGAAATTCTAAAGTCATTCAAATTAACATCAGAGATGCAATGAGGATGCAGCTGGATCAACCATCGTTTGCAGGCTCCAGCTAATGCAGTTGGACAAGAAAACAAACTAAGAGTATAAATACTGCAGGGGAAGAGAGAAAACAACCTGGCAATGAGACGGCTGTATCATAACCAGCATAAATCAAGTTCATCAGAGACCAAGAGTTTCTAATATACACTTATTGTCAATTAACAAGAATTTTTCACTAAGGTAGTCCAATATACACAAATATACAAATAGAGCTATTCTTTGTGATTGCAACAAATAACTGTTTTAAAATGGAAAAAATCTTATTTATAATTACAATAAAATTACATCATAAAATATAGGCCTTATATAATAAGAATAGATTATATATGAAGAAAACTATATAATTTTATCAAATAATGTTTACAACAGGATTTGAATAAAGGTTTTTGGGTGGAAGGTTTAACAGTTTTAAAAAAACATTCTTTTTATAAGTTCATATATCACATTGATGCAATTTTAATCAAAATCCTCAAAAGATTTTCTTTTTGGAGGAGGATAACATGACAGTTCATTTGGAAAAATGAATATATCTAAGAATTGCTAAGAAAATTTTGGAAAAGAATAGCTGGGGGAAACTTTGTAAGTCTAAAGGATACAAAAGCTTAGCTTAATGCTAATATAATAAAATATGTGATGCTGGCAAACCAGAGAAGCTACAAAGATCAGTGGGACAAAACAGAGATTCCAGAAATCGATCCAAGTATATTTGGGAACTTCATCTAAAGGTGAAATTAGGATTTCAGTTCGGAGGAAAATAATATGTTATGTAACAAATGGCCCTGGTCTATGTGGGCAGGCAAACTCTGGTATCACACATATGTAAATATGAATTCTTGCTGCAGTAAGACGCTAACTAAAAAGAAACAAACAATAAAAATATTAAAGAAAAAAACCTATCTCAGGGGAAGAGGGGACTTCCCTAGAAAACACAGGAGCTACAAATGAAGCAACAGAAGAAACCGACTGCATAAAAAGAGTTGTTTTCACGTGGTAAAGCACCACAAGGAAAGTGAAAAGACAAATGACAGGAAGGGAGGAAACTCAGCAACAGGTGACAGACATGGCGTTCATATCCCCAAGTTCCCAACAACCCAAGGAGAAAAATAAGGGAGTATGAGTTAAAGGTTCATAGACGAGAACAATGCAAATGATCAACAAGTCTATGCAGAGATGCCACAGAGATGCAGATCAAAACACCACCTGGGGAAACGCACAAAGAGCAGATAAATCATTTCACTCATCAGACTGACAAAACTTCAAAGATTGATAATACCCAGGAATGGCAAGAGTTGGAGCCCCCACCAAAGATGAGGCTACCATTTTGAAAAAGTGATCTGAGTCTATGCAAGTACAAACTATGGAAACGTTGAAATGCCGAAAGCACAGCCGAATATGAGGAATTATGTAAGACGTTGACTGCGGCAGTCTGTCATGGTAAACAAACACAAAAGCAACCTAAATATGCATGAATAGGGTGATGGTTGATAAAGCTTGGCATATTCATACTACTACTTTTTGCTTAAAAAGTTAGGGATAGCCGTACTGCCCCACAGCACTGTTAATAAACGGGATAAGAGCAAGTTGCAGAGAAATGGACATAGTGTGACACATCTACTACAAAAATAGGAAAAAAGCCCTGTCCGTGCTGTCTTTGGAATCTATGTATGTTGGTATGAACACAGGGACGATTAATATTACTTACCTTGGGTGGGGTTAGGATAGGAAGGGCTGAAGACTACTGACGTGCTTTTTGTATAATTCTGTAAACAGTTTATTGCAAGGAACAAGTTTTGCTGTTGTAGTTTGTAAAGACAAAAATCCAAATATGCACAGCGTGTATGTATATGCATGACTGTGTATGCACGTGTCTATGTAGATAGGGAGGGCGGCAGCTAGGTGGAGATATAAAATACAAAAAGAAAACAGCATATAAAAAGTATGCCCAATTCAACCCCAACCGTATAACTGGAGTGGAAAACATTCATACATAAGCACAGGAGAAGAGATTAGAAGGACGCCTATTCAAAGTGGCTACAATGTTTACACTGGGTAGTAAAATTGTTAGTGCCTTCAATTCTTTCTTAATATGTTTCCCATTATTTTCTACCTTGAATACACATTACATTCATAATCAGGAAAAAAATCCTTTCAAAGTTGAAAAGGAGGGCACTCTGGGAAGAAAGATGTAGAAAACAGGTTTGTGACAATAGAAGTTCCCCAGCTAAAATGCAGTCGCTGAAGAGTTTCCTAAAGAGCTACAAGCAATAATTCTAAAGCAATGAAATTATTAAAATACTAACATACACACACTGTAAGCCTTTTCAATTTCTTACCAAACCATAGTTAATGGCTCATTATTACTAATGCCGATATGGAAATAAAGAAATCCTGGCAAAGAAAACACAGCGAGTTATCAGACTTGTATTCAAACATTAAGGGTCAAAGAAAGGCGACAAAGCCGAGTTGTAACTCTTCATCTATTTCTTAAAGGAAGTGGACTCTCCATTTCCGGCAGGCAACCCTCAAGGTTTCCAGCATCACCATCTTGTATATTTCCTTGGTTTGTTATTACTGTAAAAAAGTGAAAAATCATGGGGCCAGCCAGGTGGTGCAGCAGTTAAGTTCGCACGTTCCGCTTTGGTGGCCCAGGGTTTGCCGGTTCGGATCCCGGGTGCCACAGCCATGCTGTGGTAGGCGTCCCACATATAAAGTAGAGGAAGATGGGCATGGATGTTAGCTCAGGGCCAGTCTTTCTCAGCAAAAAGAGGAGGATTGGCAGCAGATGTTAGCTCAGGGCTAATCTTCCACACAAAAAAAAGTGAAAATCATGTATTTATGTGAAAGGGAGCTGATCTGCATGAGAATTTTAATTAAATAAGTTTGCATTAGGGAAGAATAAAAGTGGTGGCAACTCTGGCAAAAATGTATCTCTATGTTCTCATAACATTTTAAATATGCTTCTTTCACAAGAGTAACCTCCCCTCCTCTCCAATCGTTGCTGACCCTGTGAGAGCAGGTTTCACTCACTCATGATTTATTAAGAGCCCAGCACGAGTTGAAGATCAGGCCAGAGGCTGGAAATCAGAGCGATTAGGACTCTAGCTCATGTCTTCGGGTATAAACGGGTAATTCTAGTGCGCTATCTGGCGCCACCTACTGATAAAACAGCATTTCAATTCAAAACAACAAAATTTTAATTTCCATCTTTTCAATATAGCCTATGCTTTGGAAAAACCTAGGTGCTTTTCCAGTCGCACTCGTCTGGACCCTGGGATTGCACATATATTAATATAAAACAATGGCATCCTAGGACACCCTGTCCTAAAGGTGCGCAGGAACTTGCATCATATTTGCATCCAAACAGAAATGTCAGGTTCGTGAGTCTGAAGTTTCAAAATGAAAACAACTGTTGGGTCACTTCAGGCGCCACACATACGGAGTTGTTGACTGTTAACGAGGTAAGTCGTTTGTATAATATTTGAGTGAGGACTAAAAACCTTTGCTTCTCCAAGTTCTCTTGAATTATATGATAATTCACACCCCCTCCATCCCAAATTATATCATGACTGTAAAGAATCATTAACATTCAGTATATTGTAGTCATGTAACAATTTATTAGGAAACCTTTCCATTTTTGCTTATTAGCACTAAACATTTTCATGGGGGGTCAAATATCCATGTAACATTATGTAGAAAATGGTCCTTCGTGCCAATAGGTTTGTATCCACGTACGAAAACACGAATACCCGAAACTGGGGGGCATTTCAGAATGGGGACTGAAAGAGGCTGGGAAGTACCATCTGCTACACAAATTGAATGAGGTGGGAAAAACCTTTATTATAAGAGTTGCAAAATCAAGTTGGAAACAAACAAATGTAGTCACTACTCAACGCATTTAATTCCAGACCCTCATGGGAATCATCTTGGTAATGTTTAAGATTCTACAACAGTTATAACGTGGCGGGTCAGAGGTGGTCTCAAAGTTATTACAGCGTTAAAAAATTAGAGTAAGCAGTATAAAATTACAATTTATTACGGGGTGGGGGGTGGACAACGGCTCACGACAGTCCTTAAAAAACATTAAGAGCAAACCTCTTAGAGAATTCTATTTATGATCTCTTTTTTGTCACTCCTTTTTTCCCCTGTCTTTTGCTTTTTTAAGTACTAATCTGGTATAGAATCTGCTGGACAGAGCAAAGTTGGGTGGGCTCCTCCTTGAATGATGGAGTAAGTCTGCTTGGGTAATCCTTGCTGGGAAGAAGAGGAAAATATAGGCGGAGCGGTGGCGGCCACGGCAAGGTTCTGGCCTCCGTCACTCACCACGGTCACCTCAGCTGTCCCCTCCTGAATCAGAGCGTTAAGGCCTTCAAAATCAGTGCAAGTAATACCCGAACTGGTGATGAAAGTCTGGCTGCCAGAGCCTTCCTGGGGGCCCCCCGGGGCTGTGGGGATGAGAGTCTGGTGCACAGTGGCTCCGTCAGTCTGGTCATGAGTGGTCAGCAGGACAGCTGGCTGGGTCATCGCGCCTGCCTGGCTTGGACACCCAGAGGACTGAGGAGAGGCGATGAGATTGACCGGGCGCAAGATCTGCAGCCGGCCGTTCCCTGGGAGTTCCTCCGGGTTCTGAGCCACCAACGCGGGTGGTACGATGTTCACCGCAGCAGCCGCAGCCTGGACGATGGTGTTCGCCTGGGGCACTTGATGCCCCACGATGATTTTGACTCTCCCCTCGCTGAACTGGGGCACTTGGCTGGGCTGGAGGGGTACCTGGAGGTGCCCCACAGTGAGGGGCGCGGTGGGCTGCTTGCTGGGGTCGATCTGAAACTGTAGGACGGTCACATCCGAGTTCTTATTCTCATTGTACTCACTGTGCTGCCTCTTGTGGCTGCGGAGCGAGTCCTCCCGCATGAACGAGGCATCGCACGTGTCACAGTGGAAAGTCTTCTTGGCGTCCAGCTTGGCCACCTGCCGGCTGCTCTGTCGGCCCGTGTCTTTCCTCTCCAAGGCCTCGTTCTTGACCATGTCCCCGTGGAACTTCTTCATGTGCTTGCTCAGGTTGCTGGGCTGCTTGGTGTCGAAGCTGCAGTAATTACACTTGAAGGGGCGGTCGGTGCAATGGATGCGCTCGTGGATGCGCAGGGCGGCCTTGCTGGAGCAGGAGTAGCTACACTCGGAGCACTTCTCGGGGTGCTCCGACTGGTGCACCCGGCTGTGCTTGCGGAGGGTGGCTTTGCTGTCACCCAGGAAGTCGCAGTGCGGACACTTGAAGTTATTCCCGCTGTGCTTGATGCGGATGTGCGACTTGAGGTTTCCCTTCATGGTGCAGCGGACATTGCAGAACTCGCACTTGAAAGGCTTCTCCCCCGAGTGCACGCGCATGTGCCTTTTCAAGTCCGAGCTGATTTTGAACTTGGCGCTACAGAGCCAGCACTGGAAGGGGGCGTCCCCTGTCAACACAAGGTGAGTTTCCATAAGAACAGGCAGGCAACAATCACAGCGGATCCCCCCGAAGCACACACCAGAAAATCGCTTAAACCAAGGCAGGCGGGTGGAGACCTTCTAAATGCAGCTCCTAGGAGCCCCTGGGAGGAAGAAAAGGGGGGTCGGGGGCTTCTCTTCTTTCCCCAAACCTAAACCGCCACCACGTGCTTCTGGTGTGCCACCACCGTTACAAAACCCAGAAGAAAAACGGAGCCTGAAAAGAGCTATTTAATTGTCCCAGTGAAAATAAGATCTGTGAATCTACTTAGTATATTCTTTAAAACAATCAAGCTATCGTTCATAGAGTTAATGTGCCCACTCTGCTAGTTAATCGTTCACCGTTGTACAGTTTTGCATAATCCGTTGATTTTGATTGAGTTACGTGTTGTAACAGATTGAAGGACACATGTTGCCATCAGTCAACTTCATGCTCACTCATCAGAATATTCTTTTTACAATGATTGAAACGCCCAGCTTATACTTCATGCAGATTTTTATTAATAAAGACGTGTTTATTGCACAGAATGTATTTATCCTTCACTGCCAGCTGCGTTCTTTACTTGTGAAGTTACAAAATCCAGCTGCTTTTGATTTTGTTTTTTAAAACTCATATTCACTGACAGATGAGCAGGGAAAGTGAAATTGCAAACATCTGACTGGACGTGATATTCCAAATAGGATTCGTCAGTGACTGGCAAGTCCAGATTATCTAAGGCACTGAGAGTTCAAGCAAATTGGTGACCCCGCCCATTTTAATATTGCTTAAGCAACAGAGTAACAGCAGCTAACATTCTTCAGTTGCTTCTGGGATGGCAGGCGCTCTGCTGAGCACTCCGCAAGAATGGTCTCATTGGATGCTCCCAACATTCCCACCAGGTGGGTACTATTATCAATATTGTTCTAGACACTATTGTACAAATGAGGAGTCTGACGCCTAGAGAGACGACATAACTTGCTCCTGGTCACCCAGTAGTACGTGGCAGAGCTTGGATTCCAAGCCAGGCTGACTCCAAAGCTGGTATTCTCAGATGCTGCATAATTAGCTGTTCATGTGACCGATGTTCGCTTTCTTAGGCCATAAACTCAAGAGTGGGATTGTGATCCGGCTTTCTGGTATAAGGCCGACAACACCACCATGTGCTGCTTGATAAATGCAATTAAAGATGGCAGGGAACAAATTTAACAAGCCTCTAGAAAACGGAGAAGCCCAAACCCAATGCTTTGTACGACTAAACACCACTGAGATTATGCAGACTAAACTAAACTAAACTCCAGAACAAGGAATGGGAAGCTATAGCCTGTGGGCCCACAGCCTGTTTTTGTAAATAAAGTTTTACCAGAATACAGCCACGCCCATTTGTTCCTATGTTGTTTATGGTTGCTGTCACAATACAAGTGCAGAGGTGAGCAATCGTGACAGAGGCTGTATGGCCTGTGAAGCCTAAAATATTTGCTATCTGGCCCTTTACAGAAAGTTTGCTAACTTCTGCCTTAGACTGTTGTTCTTAACCCTTTTTTATGCCACTGACCCCTTTTTCCTGGTTTCGTGAAACCCATGGAAACTTTCTCAGGATACTGTATAAATGCACAAAGTGAACTAAACTAAAATTCAACAGGAATACAAAGGAAACCAATTATATGGAAAGAGTTGCTAAAACATTAAAAGAAAAAGATTTGTGCTATGGCAACGTGTGCTGGATTCATGCGTTAAATAACAAGATCTCACGGCGGGTCGGTCACTACAATCGTTTCTAAATCGAGAAGAGCGTAGAGGATATTTTGATCTCGCTGCAACAACTGTTAGGAAAAGATCTGTGATTCCTCCTGGCGACGTGTTCACAGGCACTGTTAGCAGATGGGCTGCCTATTTTCATAAGGGGAAGGACACACCACATTTCAGTACCGGTTAGTGAAAATGAAGACGTAACTGTCCTCCCGTCCAAGTTCATGGACCTCCTAAATTCTATTCAGCGATCCCTGGGTGGAGGTGTCTATGGACCCAGAGTAAGAGTCTCTGCTCCAGAACGAACGTCCTACTAGGTTTTCCAGTTACAGCCCTGCCCAAATTAGCGACAAATTTTTTGCTCCTGTTAGCAATCAGCAGAGGTAAAACCCAGAAACACCAGATAACCAATCTCAGAGCTGAGGTGCAGAGCTTAACAACACTTTCTGACATGAAAGCCAAGGGTTTTAAATCCTTTCATCATCACCTTTTTTTTCCCTTTAATCATATATTTACTTTTTTTTCTTTGAGGAAGATTAGCCCTGAGCCAACATCTGTCGCCAGTCCTCCTCTTTTTGCTGAGGAAGATTGGCCCTGAGCTAACATCTGTGCCTGTCTTGCTCTATTTTGTATGTGGGACACTGCCTCATCATGGCTTGATGAGCCGTGTGTAGGTCTGCAGCCAGGATCTGAACCCATGAACCCTGGGCCGCTGAAGTGGAGCATGTGGACTTACCTACTATGCCACTGGGCTGGCCCCTAGTTACTTCTTAAATGAGGCATACTGGTCAGTAACAGTATCTGTCCAAAGCTAACGACTATGTTCGTTTCTGCCCGCCGATCCCCAGTGTCCAGTACATAGTGGGGAGTTAATGAATGTTGTTGAATGAATAAGTGACTGATAAATATTTAAGCTGACAGATCTTTCTTGGGTTTAGGTTGCTCCTAAGACAACTGACCATGTAGCTGTCGATGGAAGGGCAAAACCAAGATCCTATTAATTTTACTGTTTGTAAAATTTTATAAGCGCCATGCCACAATTTATACAAGGGAAACGAACATTCAATGGAGACGATGCATAAGGGGAACATGTTTAAATTTTTAGAAAATGCACCTTTTCCAGACCAATTTAAGGATGCTGCTATAAATGGTAAGTTTATCCTTACGAGTCAAAATGATTCTCAACACCTTTCATGAATGAATCCCTCAGCTACTCTATCTTATGCCGCGGGACATTTCCAAAGAAAATCAGTTGGGCATCAGTTATGCCAATGTCTTAACTTGCTGTAGGAGATTACAAAAATGTCCCCAAATATCCCCACTTCCCATCCCTCCGTGAAGCCATGGCCTCTGCCATGTATGTGATTAGGTATGCTCTCCTGACAGGGGCGGAATGACCTGCCATGACCCCCGCTAATAGACTCAATTGTGTCATTGGATTTGGCTGATGGTATGTTAAGTAGACGTGATACAAGTAATGGCTTGAAATGGACTTGTGCCTTGGGATTGCTCACTTGTGCCTCTGTCATCCAACGCCATGAGACGGTCAAGCCTGGCCTAGCCCACTGGTCCCAGGAGGAGGATGACAGATACGTGGAGCAATGCTGGATTACCTCAGCCAAGGCTCGTGCACGGCCAGCCCACAGCTGGCAGACCCTCAGACTTGTAAGTGAGCCCAGCCAAGAGCAGCAGAGCTGCACAGACGACAACAAGCTGATCCCCAATGCGTGAACAGAAAAGGCATCTTGTTGTATCCACTGAGGTTTTGTGGGGGGTTTTGTTACATTGCATTATTGTGACAATAGATAACTGATACAGATACTGGTATCTAGGAGTGAGGTGCTGCCATAACAGAAAACTGAAATACGTAGCTTTGGCTTTAGGATGTGTTAGGAGGTAGAGGCTGGAAAAACGGCAATTCACACTATTTAATGGCAAACAATTGGTAAAACTATCTCCTGCAGTAACTCAGAAGACTGAAAACATATCTACTGAATTTTGGATTTGAGCATACAGATTAATTCCGGACAGAACGGTGGAAGTCTTACAAGCTGCATATGATAAAAGTACGACAAGAAAGAGACAAACTAAAAATAAAACTGACCATTTTCTAAGCGGAATTCAGAGAGAATATAGAAAATCAAAGATGTGCTGGCTTGGATAAAGATTCTCATCTCCACCAGCAAAAGGTTTTCAAAGTAAGACAAAAGCCTGGGGACAAAGATCATATTCAGGGAACTGGTCTCAGAGGGAAAACTGAATGAGAAATGAGGGGTGTGAATGTAAGGCTTTGTTAAAATCTCCAAAAGAATTAAGCTGGTGCCAAGTAGGTTTTCTCAGCTGGACAAGGTTCCTAGGAGTCTCAAAGGATTCGACCCACAGAAAGTTATAGGCTGAAAGTGCCTGTAGTTGGGTTTAGGGGAGAGGCAAGTCTCCAAAAGAATTGCAGGTGTGGCTGTTGGCACATTGACACACAGGAAACTCACCAAGTTTTTGAGATAGCTCTACCAGCAAAGCTGTCACCAGCCTAGATTAAAACAAAATCTAAAAAGATCCCCAACGTTCAGTAGGCAGGAAGCAGGTGAAGAAAGTTTCTCAGAGGTACATTTTCCAGTCCTTTTCAGAAGTGGCTAAGGACGGTGAAGGAAAGCATGCTCCCGTGGACAGAGTCAAGAACCAGGGAGCTGAGGCAAGGCCTAATCAAGAAATATTCGCTGTCTCCAACATGGGGGGACCTGGGAACCTCTGCCCAAAGGGAGTTCAGAAATCTGTGGACCAGTGACTGCCAAGTGTCTCCCTTTCAAATACCAGGATTATCATAACGATCCTGGCTCTGTTTCCTCACTGTACGTTGGGAGTGTGGGGATGAACAATCTGTCTTTTTACTTTAGGGGTCTCTAGGTCAAGAGAAGCAATATCCAGACCTGATGGAGATCACAGGACCCTGGTCTTTAAGCCTGAGCCTATGATTGGATGAGCCTTGTGGGGGTCTTAGGAGGTGGTGAATGCATTTTGCATATCAGAGAGATGTGAATAATGGTGGGGTAAACTATGGTTATTTGCAAAAATGGCCCCAATTCTTTACCCCTCCTCGTATCTCTTGCCTTGCCGTGTAACCTTGCGGTGACCTCACACTGTTGGTGAGCTCAGCCCCATCCCTTCACACCAGGCCCACCCATATAACTTGCTTTAGCCAAGGGGATGTTTGCAGACTTAATGCGAGCAGAGGCTTGAAATGGGCTTACACACTGGGGCACGCTTGCTTGTACCTCTGCCACTGTCATGAGAAGGGCAAGCATAGGGTAGCCCAGTGGTCCCAGAAGGAGGATGAGAAATACGTGGAGCAGAGCCAGACTGCCTGAGCCAAGGCCACTGGCCAGCCAGGAGATCCCTAGCCAAGCTCAGTGGAGACCCAGCCTTCCCCATATATAGGATTAAGCCCAGCCAAGATCAACGGAGTGTCCAGCCACCCCCCTGCTGACCCGAAATATGTGAACAATAAATGCTTATTATAATATGCCACTGAGGTTTTGTGGTGGATGTTACACAGCATCATTGCATCAATAGCTAACTGATATACTTGCCAAAAGAAAAATATACATAATTTGTTGAGTTACCTACTCTGCTGAGTTTTTCGATCAAGCTCTCCCATGCTGAACTAATCAAATTATACTTTAAAAATGGCTGAAAGGCCTAACCGTACATTATGGAGAAATTTATTAAAAATGCATTGTTTGCATGTCTATTTCATTTAGCGCACCACCTGGATTACATACCTCAGCAGTGCCAAAGTTATAAAGTTACGCAAGATATATGTAAAGTTATAAACTTGATGTTTTTTTCCTATTTTACTGAGAAAGGTACTTCTGGGCAGATGAAAAGCAAAACGGCAAACAATGGGATGACCAAACGCCCCCAGTTCATTTGCTTGTGTTGTGACTAAACGCTTTAAGGTGCTTATGATTTAAGCACTAGGAAATGGGGAGCACAGAGTGAGAGCGATGCGAGGGACTGACCTGTGTGGGATCGGAGGTGGACGGTGAGCTGGCTGGAGTTGCGGCTGGCGTAGGGGCAGATCTGGCACTTGAAGGGCCGCTCGTCGGAGTGTATCCGCAGGTGCTTGTTGAGGCTGCTGCTGTCGGCAGCCGCGTAGTCGCAGGTCTTACACTTGTAGGGCTTCACACCCGTGTGGCACCGCATGTGGGTCTTCAGCTTGTCCTTCCGGCTAAAGCACTTGCCACAGACTTCACACTTGTGGGGTTTGTCTCCTTCAAACACGCACACAGATGGGATCAGGAAACAAGAGTTAAAAAGAAGAACACTTATTTCCCACTGCCTTGTGAAAAGAGTAATACACAATCACCAAAGGCTATTTAGATGGATGACTGGCAAAGAGCTAACAGCCTGGGAGAGGGGGAGTTTATTTTTCTGTTTTGCTTACTGGTGTTTTCTTATTTTTCCTGCAATGAGTATGAATTCTTTATTAATTAAAAATAGAAGGCAACTCAAAAATTTTAAAGTACAGCTAAGTACAATAAGAAACTGCTCATTGTGTCTTGTATCCGTTCCCTCCTTTTTCCTTTTCACAACAGACTCGCCCTAAAGCTCAGAATCCCTAAGTTTTAGGAGGGCTCGTGGCTGAGCTGCTAAAGATGGCATTTCTCAGCCTCACTTGCAGCGAGGTGATTCTGCGATGAAGTGCTCGTCAAGGAAATGGCGAGAAGGTCAGTGTGTCCCTCTTGGAAAGGAAACTGCTTGCCTTCTACTTTTTCTCTTTCCCTCCTTCTCAACAGCTGTAAACCCAAGGTGTGGGGGTGGACAGGCAGGAGAGGGCATCGCACCTGCAGATGGTGGAGGACGTCAGATGACGTACTGTAATGACACAGACGAGACTTAAGTCCCGGCACGATCTCATCGACAGAGCCACTTTCTTGCTCCAGACCACCTGCTCCCCTCTGAACAGGTGTGTGAGAGAGACAGAAGCTCCACCTGGTCTGAGCTGGGGTTTGGGTTTCTTTCTTACAGCACCATAACCTGTACCTCACTGACACACATCACGACTTGCCACCCAGGAACAACTGCTAATATTTTGATGGACATTTTTCCAATTATTTTTGTGTGTGTGTACTTTTTTTGGTACAAAAACTATGTTGGCTAACATCAAATTAAACACTTCGCCTTTGAAAGGCACTGTGCCTATGAATGACTTTATTGAATTCTCTCCACAACTGGGATTAGAACCCAGATGGTCTTGCTTTCTAAGCCAAATGCACCACTATTTCTCCACTGACTACTTTCTTGCACAAAATTAAAATATATTTTTTTCTTTTTTTAGTGAGGAAGATTGGCTCTGAGCTAACATCTGTTGCCAATCTTTCTCTTTTTGCTTGAGGAAGATTGGCCCTGAGCTAACATCTGTGCCAATCTTCCTCTATTTTGTATATGGGATGCCACCACAGCATGGCTTAATGAGTGGTGTGTAGGTCCACATCCAGGATCTGAATCAGCGAACCCTGGGCCACTGAAGCAGAGCGTGTGAACTTAACCACCACACCACTGGGCCAGCCCCACAAAGTAATTTTGATCATCTTTTCACATCATTAAATATCTGTAACGTGATTTTTAAGGCTGAAGTATTTCACTGTATGAATGTACCATAAATTAACCAATTCCCTACTTGGCCATTGAACAGAATGAAATAGATATGCACACACTGATGTGGAAAGATGTCCAACAGTAAATGGAAAAAAGCAAGTCGCAGTGCATACAATATTAACTTAATAAGAAATGGAAAAAGCAAACTGTGTGTTTTTAGGCCTGGTATGGGCTTGCCAGAATTTAAGAATGAGACACAGTAGACTACTAAGATTGGTGACTTCTGGGCGTAGATTAAGAAGGAAGTGGTCTGCGAGTCAGAATTTTCACTTTTCACTTTATATATCAAATACGTATTTTGGCCAAATCCTAAATAGCCAAGCGCTAATATCAACTGTCAGCCAAAGTTGATCACTATCATTATAGGATAAACATCTGGCATTTAAGACTACATCTAAAAGTGTATTAAAGATTATAATTCTTCACAAAAAATTTTTTTTTGAGGAAGATTAGCCCTGAGATAACATCTGCCACCAATCCTCCTCTTTTTGCTGAAGATTAGCCCTGAGCTAACATATATGTCCATCTTCCTTTATTTTTGATATGTGGGAAGTCTGCCACAGCATGGCTTGATTAGCGGTGCACAGGTCCACACCCGGGGTCGGAACCGGTGAACCCCAGGCCGCCAAAGCAGAATGTACAAACTTAACTGCTGTACCACCGGGCCGGCCCCAAAAGATTATAATTTTAATATTAAAAATGTTAGTAGTCAAATTTAAAAATCCACGAACAAGAATTTCTCAGTATTGTCAGCTGCCAAATAGCTCCCGTGGTCGCCATCCTGTGTATTTAAAACACTGAGCTGATGCTGGATGATGGTGAAGCGGGATGGTTTTCGGTGAGCTCTGCTGGTAAAGAGCCCTATTGTTGTTGCTGTCCTGGGGTCACACCCTTCTCTCGGAAAGTAACTAAGGGAAGGACACCCTCCTGTCAACTGTCCACTGGAAGATGATGGAGACGCTGTGGTTATCCAGAAACTAGCTACAAATGCAAGCTTGGCCAACTGTGTGTAGAAGATGCTTTCGGAAGATTTGCAGAAGTGGACTTAAGGTCATTGTCCTCACTAATATTTTTATAATGGTTCCCAATCATCATTAATAATTACAGCACTTTACTCTTGCAATGATCAAAATGCTACGCTTGACCGATGGAACTTCAACAGATGAAACCCACACGGAGAGATCCACTGCTTGTTACATCAAGAATGCTTACCAGGACTTGAAACTTAATAACCTAATAGTTCGATAATTAGAGTAAATCCAAATGACACGCCACTGTGAGGCTGAACAGATATGATGATCCCCTGCAAGAAGGCGGTCACTGGCCACGGCCAAGGAATATACGAGATAACTGTGGGGCAGTTCACCTTCCGAAGGCTGGGGCTAAAGAGCAGGCTTTGGGCCATCAGTGATGCCCAAGGCAAATTTCAGTGTGTCCCCACCTTAGACACGTTTATACTCTTTGAATTTACACGTCTGTATCATTTAAATGATGAGGTTCTAACATTTTGTTAAAAATAGTCTAAAAGCAATTCCTTCTCCATGCAGAAAATCTGAGAGACATAAAAATACTATACTAAAGAAAATCAAAATCACTGGAAATAATCACATTCTTCATTTTCCATACATTAATCCTTTTCTCTCTTTAAAAAGAAAGTATTTATTTATTAAATTTCCCCTTCAAATTGCAAAAATAACGCACACTCACTATATCCAATGATACGATGGAAAGACACAGACAAGTTACTCTTCTTTCCCCTTCTTCCTCTTTCCCAAGCATTACACACATTCACACGCACGCACACATTTATAGGATCATCTCCTCAAAATGTGGAGAATATGGCATCTAAATTTTACCTAATCCTGGCACATTAATCGGCTGCTGTAGCAGTCCACATTTCCACTAGCAAATTTGCTCCTATGTGTCCCAGCACTGGATTTTATTGCTTTATGCATCTTCTGCCAAAATCATGTGTAGAAACAACATCTTGTTTTTACTGAATTTGTATTTGTATTCCCGTGACAGCCAGTGAGGTTCTGTGTCGCATGATGTGTCTGACGTGTCTGGATCCCCAGCTCCCAGCACAGAGCCTGTGTTTGGGCACGTGTGCCAAAGAAATGTTACTTACCTGTGTGAATTTTTAAATGACGCTCCATGTCCTTCATGCCATAGGCAGTCTTGAACTGGCAACCTTGGAAAGGCAAGGAAAGATTAATTGCAAAGGGAAACACAGTACCTTGAGAGTGAAGAAACCTGGCAGAAAGTTCCTTACTCACACGATGAAAGTTAACCCCACGGGAACAGGACAAATAGCCATCCCGTGCCTCCTGATACGATGCACCACGAAGGACACAACATCCCTCGGTGCTTCCTGCCCAAATGGCATAACCTAAACCTAACCACGAGGAAACATCAGACAAACCCACACTGAGGCAGATTTTACAAAATAACTGACCTGTACTTTTCAAAAATGTCAAGATCATGAAAGACAAAAGTTTAGGATTAAAGGAAACTAAAGACACAGGAAAACTAAATACAATGTGTGATCATGGATTGGTTCCTCAATTGGGGAGAAAATGTTTTTCTTTTGATATAAAGGACATTAGTGAGACACTTGGTAAAATTTTCATAAGATCAGTAGGTGTGATAATAGTGTGTAAATTTTAATTTCCTGGTTTGGATGATTGTACCGTGGTCTTACAAAAGAACCTCCTTGTTTCTAGAAAATACACACTGAGATATTTATGAGTAAAAGGACATCACGTCTGTAACTTGCTCTAAAACTAGGGAAAAATATATGTATGCATAGAAAGAACAATGAAGCAAATGTGGTAATATGCTAACATTTGGGAAATTTAGATGACGGGTGTACAGGAATTTTTGTATTCTTTTTGCAACTTTTCTGTAAGTCTGAAATTACTTCCAAATAAAAAGTTTTTTTTAAATGAAAGGAAAAATCTTTCTGAACATCTTCCTAAGCTAGAAACAGGAAAGAAAATTCACAAAACCCTGCAGTTCTCACAAGTCCCATGTCAAAGGCCTGTGGTATACAGGTCGTGGAGCCCACAGGTGTGGTGAGTAGGGGGAGGGAGGCAGAGGGAGAGGGAGAGAGAGGGAGAGAGAGAGACAGAGAGAGACAGAGGGACAGAGAGGTGATGATGTAAATGCTGTGGGGCTTTGATTTTTAAGTCGGGCGGTTTAGGGCACATCGACGTCAGAAATTCATGAGTTAGGGCCCTGGAACCTGCTAAATGTCACATCCTCTACACACGTAGTACACAATGCTGCCTTTACCTGGATAGCAACAGTTAAGCCTTTTCTGAGCAGGTGGGGCCGTGGGCTTTTTGGCACGTGACTTGGCAGGGAGAGAGATGACAGTGGCTGTCTGGTTTTCATTGCTTTCCGTGGGCAGATAAGTTTGATAGCCATGTTCAAAAACAAATTCTGGAGCTGAAACTAAAAGATATGAGGATGATTAAATTTTCATAATATGAACACCCAGCAACTATTCCCTTTGTCTATCTTCCTTTATAGAGAATGAACCTGCTAGATTGCTTTCCCAGTTTCCCTTGCTGTTTAGGAGGGATCATGTGACCCCGTTCTAGCCAATGAAACACTAGAGAACATCTGCTGGGAGGTGTCTGCAAAAGCTTTTCTCCCTGATTTAAAAAACAAAACTGAGGGCAGAAAGAGAGGCAGTTGAGGAAAGCTCATTCTTGCTGCCCTGGTTACCCCACTTCCTGTCTTTGGACATGCTGGAGTGAGGATATGATGCCTGGATCTGTGGCAGCCATTCTGTAACCGTAAGGGGAGAGCAAGAAAATCAGATGTTGACGTAGCGCTCTGAAACCATCCAAATCTAGATTTACTGAATAAACAAAAAAAGTCCCTATCCTTTACGCCACATAGGCTTTCTAATTTCAGTCAAATGTTGGGTACTTTCATAAGCTTTATCACAAAATCCTAACCAACTAGAAAGAAACTGATCAAAGGAATTCCGGGCAAAACTACAAGTACTCTCTAAAGACACAAGTACTCTTTACAACAAGTACTCCTAAAAAAATTCTCATACTCTCACTGAAGTTTTAAGGAAAAAAGAAAAAAGAGACCAAACATCTTTATCATCTTTATCTTTGTCATTATAAAAGATAAAATAGGCAGTCTCAAATTTCTTTTTTCCGCTTATAAAAAATGTTGTGACTACTTTGTTAATTAAGTTTATGGTTTGGGGTTTGGAAATATTTTCTTTCTTCCTTTATGACATGTAATTTGTCACATGGAAATTTGGCTTCAAACAAGGAGTAAATTGACCGACAGGGGCTTGTTCATTGGGCGAATGTGTTTGAGACCCACTGTCATATCCTGTTTCCCAAACTTCAGACACTGAGGCACCACCCTCGACATTTTGGCCCTTGTATTTACAGAATATACTTACGTCAGCACAAACCTAACATCACTACCTATTTTGGTTCTGACCGAAGCAGGAATATTCATGTCACAGGTTGAGGTGCTAGTTATATTTTCTCTTAACAACGAATATTATCCTTCTTTGATTCTAAGATGTTATTGATTGTAAGATGCACCATTATTTTATGTACAATCAATTCAAAAAGCTGCCAATTAAACACATTATGATGCAATGCTTTCGTATTCCATAGATATTTTATATATATTGATATTCCTTAGAAATTTTACATTTATCGAACGAGCTCTTTTAGACTTCTTTGGACATTTGACAGGAAACCCAGGCTCCTGACCTCCTCCTCTTGGGTACCTCTGGCAGCGACAGCATCATTCTGATGCATGTCGCAGAACCCCTGGTCCTACCAGCATTTGCTTAGAGTAAACTCATGGGTTCAGTTTTTCTCAATTGAAATATGCAGAGGGAAGTTAAGCGGCTTTTGTTTCATGTCAGCCAGCAGATTCTGACAAACTGATGTTTCTTCTTCACCCCAAGTCTCTCTGAGGCGTGAGTCAGCCACACGTGCCTGTTGTTGAGATGTTTTCATCTGCTCTCTGGGATTCAGCTATTGCTCCTGCTTCCACTGCTCTGCTCGGTCCTCAGTGTGGTCCCCGGCCAGCTGCACTAGACCTACCCAGGAATGTGCTGCAAACGCAAACTCTTGGGCCCCACCTGAGGCTAGTGAATCAGAAACTGGTGGACCCAGCGATCGGTGCTCTAACGAGCCCCCAGGTGATTCTGGGACATGTTCAAGCTTAGGAACCACTAGCTGGACCATCCTTTCCACACATCGCAGCGGTGAAACCAAACCCAGCTTTGTCCAATTGAAGGAATCCGTCTTTCTCGGTTGTTGCTTTGCAAGGACTGGAGCTGTTCCTCCAACAACAAACATCTGCTTCATGAATATCAAACTGACCCCCCGCTGCTGTCTCAGGTCTTTCTGGTCACATTTACTCTTCACCTTCAGCCTGAATCATCAGGCAGTATCTTGGGAGATGTTTTCAACAGCAATTAAACTCAATACATGGAGTTCCAAAAGTGCACATGCCTCTGCTCAAGGTATGCTCAAGACAAAAATGTGATCAACGGCGGTCATGTTGACAGGTACGCAAAGGCAACTGTTTTGTGACTGCCTGTTGGCTGACAGCAATCCCACTGATTTGAAGATGCACCTCCATCCATGTTAAAATGTATCTTCAAATTGATATGAGTCCAGGTGCAGCCACTTACTCTGTGCCTGACCTCAGGCCAGTTACATAGGCTCTCTGAGCCTCAGTTCCCTCACCTGTAAGTGGGGATAATCACCTTACCCACTTCATGAGGTTGTTGCAAAGTTTAATGAGAGAATCAGTAGCCCAGGATGTGGCCGTGGTCCAGTCTTCATAAATGTTAGCTACCACAGTTGAAGAGAACTGGGCACTGGGTACCAGACTCAACAGGAATGATCAACTGTCCTTGTTGGCCTGGGACTGAGGAGTTAGCCAGGACATAGGTCGTTCAGTGCTAAAACTAGGATGACTGGTCATGCTCTCATGACTTCCCAACTTTCTGGTCTTTTTTTTTTTTTTTTTTTGCTGAGGAAGATTAGCCCTGAGCTAACATCTGTGCCAATCTTCCTCCACTTTATATGTGGATCGCTGCCACAGCATGGCTGATGGGCAGTGTAGGTCCGTGCTCTGGATCGGAATCCACAAACCTGGGCTGCTGAAGCCGAGCATACAGAACTCAACCACTAGGCCACGGGGCCAGCCCCAACTGCTCTACAACTTTTTGAACAAAAAGAAGGCTGGAAGGCACTGGAGTAGGAGATTGTGGGAACGGGTAGGCCCTCGCTACAGCTGAGCTTGTGAAGTCCTCCCGGGAGGTCAGTGTGGCCCTGCATCCTCCTGAGCCCGTGATGTCCCACCCTCCAGGAGACGGGCTGGGCTTCCTCTCCTAACCGCCCACCTGTCCCTCCACCAGGACCCTCAGCATCTGTGTCATGGGAAGTCCCAGTAGAGAGGAAACAATGGAGTACTCCGGATATTAACCCCTTCCAGAAACATGGTTTGCCAATATTTCCTTCTGTTCCGTAGGCTGCCTTTTCCTTCTGTTGTTTCCTTTGATGCACAGGAGTGGGACGTGGTCCCGTTGGTCTATTTTTGCCTTGGTTGCCTGTGATCTTGGTGTCTTGGGGAGGTGGCAGGAAGCAATGAGAGACAGGCACCCAACTGTAGGGACTGTTGTGGGGGTGGGGCTAGTCACACACAACGTGAGTCACCCCAAGTAGATGGCTCTTAGGCCACAAAGGGGTTGCCCAAGAGCTTGGGCTCTTAAGTCTTGTCTCCTTGAGCCTCAGTTTCCTCACCTGGAGAATGGGGACAATTTCCATTCCTGTCTCCTAGGACTGTTGTGAGGACTAGAGATCAGGCGTGTAAAACTGCTATTGCAGTTGTCATTACTCATTGGTTTAGTCAGCAAAGTACTTATTAAGCACCTCCTGTGTGCCAGGCACTGGAAACACATCAGTGACACCCTGCCTCCATGGAGCCGACACTCTAGTTGGCATGGTGCAGCTAAATATATCCTCTACAGCTAATATAAATATATAGCTAAATGCTACGGAGAAAATAAAGCAGGGAAGGGCACAGAGAGCGCTGGGGGGCATGCAATTTCAAGCAGGCTGATGGGGTGGCCTCAGTGAGAAGGGGTCATTTCACTAGAGAAGGTGGACACACATAATTATTAAGAGTATTCTGTTGCAGGCGTCTGGCATTTAACAGCCACTAAAGGGGCCTGGGGCATCGTCACCCAGTCTTGTTGAAGGCCCCTGGCTGGCGTTATGAGGGTCGTGCCCTCCCTGCCCTCCCCCACACTCGGCTTCCTTCCAGGATCCCCTGACAACAGCGAGACCTGCAGATACCCCAGGGAAAGCCTTGAGGCCTTGATCACCGCGGGGCTGCCTCAGCCCCTTGGGGTGTTTGACCTGATGCTGGAGTGGCCCCTCATTCCCAGATGTGTTTGTGTGTGTGTGTGTGGGTGTATAGTCAGACTGACCTGGGACTAACTTCTGTCTCCCCGGCTTGCTAGCTATGAGGCCTTGACCAAGTCACTTCTCTGCTCATCAGCTCTTTCCTAGTAAAATGGGGATGTGATCAGTGACTTCCGAGCTGAGCTGGGCACACGGTTAGTGCTGGACAGCTCTCAGCCGGCATTACAGTAATTATACACAATAACGGATGTATTCATCAGTCCATCTTCAGATTTGATATAACGAGTGGCATCGGCCTTGGGGATATGAGTGCCCAGCAGAAGTGAAGGCAGCAGAGACAACCCCGGGCAGCCCAGATCCGCAGAGGTGGGACAACTCAGCCTCAGGTGGGAGCTGCTTCTGGTAGAGGACCACTTGCCCCTGTGAAGAACGTTCTCTAGGCGCTCTCTTCACTGAGGGTGTAGCAAGGGCCGCTGCTTTAGGTGGGGGTCTCATCTCTAACTCTACACAAGAGCCCAGCGCCATCCCTCCTTGGCCCTGGCTGTTGAACTCAAGTGCCATGTTTAGTGAGGCTCCCCCCGGCCGCAGCTCGCAGCCTCACACACCTGTTGCGGGCTTTCGCTTCTGTTTTTCTGCTCCTGGGGATTTCCCCCGCTCTCGTGGGTGTCCAGGTGTGCACCCGAGAGCCTGTCTGTTGCCTTCAGCCTGGTCTGCAGCAGCAGCAGCAACTCAGGGGGTCAGTTTCTCAGTCACTACGTGGCTTAAAATGCACGTCTGTTACCCAAGTTTCAGAGAGAACCCAAAGCTTGCTCTGAGGTTGGTACCCACGGGAGTCTCACACTGTGGGGCTCACACGGACCAACCACAGCTCCTTTACCCCAAGACTGCCCTGACCCTCTTTGCCTCTCCCTTCTCTTCTTCAATTTAAAAGCTCCATTTTTTAAATCCTTTTCTTTTCGCAATCAAAAAATGTATTGTTTTTTCAAAAGGAAAGTAAACACTAATAGTAGAAAATCTAAGGAG